CACTTCTCCTTGAAACTACTGACCACAAACTGTGGTCACTCAGACGTGGGTGTCGGACAGGCATTTTCTCAAAGATTAATGAAGTGAGCCTGTCACTCGGAGGAAAACATCTGATGGCATTTGCTGTCAAAGATAAAACTTGAGCTTCTAAGTGAAAACTGGAATTTTAGAAAACTTGTATCACTACCATGGGCCTGCTGCTTGCCCCATACTGTACCCGGTGACCCACACAGCCAAGTGACCAGTGTGAGACATCACAGATCACATGGGAGAAGGACTCATTCAAAGTACGAGACGGGCCATTACTCTGGTCCTCGTGGTGTCAGATTTTACACTGCAATTAATTTGAGAAATTACTGCTTGTTTCGTTGCAATAGCAAAGAACAGCTACGACTATTTTTAAAGACTTTTGAAATACCTTTGCCAACTAGGTTTTACTCACATATAGTGTGAGGCTGGATTTTAATCATTTACTTCAACCAAAACAACAGACTGCAAACACTGAATGCAGAAGCCAACAGAACCATCAAGTTAGTGTCCATGCAGGGACCTCCCTGGTAGTCCAGTGGTAAAGAATCCGCCTTCCAATGCAGGGGACACGGGTTTGATCCCTGGTCGGAGAACTAAGATCCCACGTGCCACGGGGCAACTAAGCCTGCGCACCACAATTACTGAGCCTGTGTGCCTCAACTAGAGAGCTCACGTGATGCACCTACAAAGCCCACATGCTCTGGAGCCCATGTGCCACTAGAGAGAAGCTTGGGTGCTGCAATGAAAGATCCCACATGCTGCAAGGAAGATTCCGCGTGCCGCAACGAAGACCCAACACAGCCAAAAAATAAATTAATTAATTAAATTATTTTTTAATAAAATTAAAAAAATAAAATCTGTTGACAATAAAAAAACAGTGTCTATGCAACCCGACATTATAGAAATTGGGAAAAAATAAAACAGTGCCACTCTTACTACTTTGAGGAGTTTTGGAAACTACAGGTTTTTTAAATTTAAGAAATGTTATTTATGTTAATGTAATGGGTTTATTACTGTTAATTTTAATAAATTAATAAATATCTTAATATTTATCAGTTTTAATTTCTAATATGGTAAATATTAGTAGATTTAACCCACATAAACAAACACTGTTTGGGTCCCCAATATTTTCTAAGAGTGTAAAGAGGTCCTACTGCTGACAAGTTTGAGGATTTCTGGCCTAAGTAAATGCCCTTGATTAACTGACCCAGAAATATACACAGGAGTGGTCACCACAACATGATTTGTAATAAGGGGGAAACAATGTCCCTTCAATAAGAGAAAGAAAAAATGGTGACATATTCTTTATGGAAAAATGGAATATTGGAATACTATACAGCTGAGATACAAATGTGTATGTGTACATGTATACACACAGATCTCAAATAGATACACACACACACACACGCACAGATCTCAGGAACACATTGTTGAGAAGAAAGGGAAACTGAAAAGATCGGTACAAGATGGTGCCAGTGATTTCTATTTTAAAAAAACAAATACTACATTTTGTTTATGGAACATATACCTTCGGGAGGCTACCCACCAGGTTCACAATCATGACAGCCTGTGAGAGAGAGGAGGGAACAGCACTAGGAGGGGACAGTGGGCAATTCACCTCCTACCTGTAACATTCCATTTCTCTTATTTAAAAAGGGAAGGGGTTCCCTCCTCCTGGCCAGAGAGCAAGCCTGCTTTAGGGCAGCCTCTCCTCATTACTTCCCTGAGAGGGACACTGCCTACTAGAGACCTCTCCTGGGAGCTGCTGGAATCCAAGTAGTGTACAGCCTTGACTCTGCTGGGAATCTACTCATACTGGCTGTTATTAAAGATTTTGTTATAGTCCACCTGAAACCTCAGTCAATGCTGTAAGGATGGGATTTATAAACCTGCATTTACCAGCCTGTTAATTTTTAAGTGCCCCTTTCTATATGTTTCTATTTCGGTCCTATATTTTCCACTACTATTTAATCTGCTTTAAACCAAAGGGTTCTCCATTTCTGTGGGAGTTTATACTGCTCTCAGCTCTGTCTGATCTCCAGTGCCCAGGGTTTCTTTGGTGTGTGAACAATGGAGGAAAACTTGACTCAAAAGTTTTCGTGCCCCAGCAAAGGAAACAAAATGAAACAAAAAGACAACCTACGGAATGGGAGAAAATTTTGCAAAGGATGCAACTGATTAATTTCCAAAATATACAAGCAGCTCATGAAGCTCAATAACAACAACAACAAAAAAACCCAATCCAAAAATGAGCAGAAGACCTAAATAGACATTTCTCCAAAGAAGACACACAGATGGCCAATAGGCACATGAAAAGATGGTCAACATTGCTAATCCTTAGAGAAATGTAAATCAAAACTACAATGAGGTACCACCTCACACCAGTCAGAGCGGCCATCATTAAAAAGTCTACAAATAACAAATGCTGGAGAGGGTGTGGAGAAAAGGGAACCCTCTTACACTGTTTGTGCAAATGTAAATTGGTGCAGCCACTATGGAAAACAGTAGGGACGTTCCTCAAAAAACTAAAAATAGAGTTACCATATGATCCTGCAATACCATTCCTGGGCATATATCCAGAGAAAATTATAATTCTAAAAGATACATGCACCCCAACGTTCACTGCAGCACTATTTACAATAGCCAAGATATGGAAGCACCTGAAAGTCCATCTAAAGATGAATGGATAAAGAAGATGTGGTATACATACACGATGGAATAATATTCAGCTATAAAAAAGAATGAAGTAATGTCATTTGCAGCAACATGGATGGACCTGGAGATTATCATACCAAGTGAAGTAAAAGTCAAGCAAAGACAAATATCATATGATATTGCTTATATGTGGAATCTTAAAAAAATGATACAAATGAACTTACTTACAAAACAGAAACAGACTCACAGACATAGAAAACAAACTTACGATGACCAAAGGGGGAAGGGAGGGAATTAAATTAGGAGTTGGGAATTAAAATATACACACTGCTATATATAAAATACATAACCAACAAGGACCTGTGTATAGCACAGGGAACTATACTCAGTATCTTGTAATAACCTATAATGGAAAAGAATCTAAAAAAGAGTGTGTGTGTGTGTGTGTGTGTGTGTATATATATATAAAATCTGAATCACTTTGCAGTACACCTAAAACAAATACAACATTGTTGGACTTCCCTGGTGGTCCAGTGGTTGAGACTCCATGCTTCTACTGCAGGGGTGCAGTTTGAGCCCTGGTCAGGGAACTAAGATCCCACATGTCTGTGGTGCGGCAGGGGGTGGGGGGGACTAATACAACATTGTAAATCAACTGTATTTCAATAAAAAACTTTTTTTAAGTCTTTGTGCCTGATTATTTTTGGCCTTTCAAGAGTAAATTTATTATTTCCAAATATTCAACAAACATATAAAAAGAAAACAAGTATAGAAAGAAAAAGGTGTGTAATCCTCAGAGGAAAAAAATCAGGGATTTCAAGGGACTAAGCAAGGGGAAAACTCCACGGTAAGCTTAGCTAGAAAGCCAGGCTTCCAAATCTGTACCGTCCTGCAGATGTGATGCTGCCACACAGCATCATGTCACCCGCCCTGGCAGCTGCGTGACCTCCCCCCAGCGGTCTTCCACATTTGTCAATTCTCATCATGGCGCTCGGCTTTTAAAAATCAATGGGAGGAGATCTGTGCCCAGTCCACAGGAGCTCAGGGGTTGACGGGAATTCCTCTGGTGGACAGTCGCCCTCATTTCAAAGGACATCTGCTCCCCAGGATATTCCTTGGTCCCTCACTGAGCACCTACTATGTGCCAGGGACACAAAATGAATGAAGTGAGGGTTGAAGCAAGGATGCACACTACCACACGGATGAACCTCAACAATCATGCTAAGTGAAAGCAGCCAGACACAGAAGACGGTTTGGTGTATGATTGCATTTATGTGAAATGTCCAGAAAAGGCAAATCCATAGAAACAGGAAGCAGATACTGATCTGGCTGAGGAGAGGAGTGGACAGTGACTGCAGACGGGCATGAGGGGTCTTTGTAGGATGAGGAAGTGTTCTACAACTGGACTATGGAGATGTTGTACAACTATGTAAATTTACTAAAAGTCGTTGAATTGTATGATTTAAATGGGTGAATATTATCAATAGTGACTTTTCACAGCTGACAATTCACTTCTGCTTGTCGACCAACATTTCCTGAATTTGTAGGGCAGTCCTGGCCTGAGCTGCACAGTCTGGGCATTCACCATCTGCAGGAACTTAACCTGTTCCCTCTGCATCCAGATGGTGCCGGGCATGTTCCATCTTTGGGAGAACTGAGAAAATCTCTGGAGTAAGTCTGGGAATGGAACCCCAGATGAGATTTTTCTGCAGCCTGCAGGCTGTATAAAAGTCAACATTAAAATTGGATCCCATCAAGTCTAAAAATTTCATTAAAATAATTTCAGAGGTTTTTAACCCACTGATAAATTTTCATTATTATTTTACATGAAAAGTTCAAAGGATGACAATTCTATTTCATGCAGTATTTTTTAAATTAAAAAACGAAATGCTGTTCTAAGTGGGATCAAGGAATTTAAAAATCTTAGTTCCTTTAAAAACTATGAAAGAATGAGCTCAGAGTGTCACAGATAAAGTGACAAGAAAAGATACCGCCTAGGTCACGAGGGCACTTTTAATCAGCTGGAGGCTTTCCAGTGCCCACAGTGCATTCAGGGCCAAAGCCCCCACATGCCCACGCCGGCTCCCTCTGGAGGCCGTGATCAGCCACTCGGCGGGTCCCGCCCCTGCCCCCTGTGACAGCCCCGCGCGCGAGGTGAGGCCAGGCCGGCGGGGGCGAAGACGCGGTCCCACCACCCCGGGCCCTTGCAGGTCACTGCCCACAGCGCGGCCCAACGCAGGACAGAGCCCGCCCTCCCGGAGGCCACGGCCCAGGCCCAGGCCAGTCTGGACTCACTGCGGCCGCAGCCGTCTCACCCGAACACATGCTCCGAGCTCCAGACCCTCATCGCCGCCCACGCAGAGCCCGGCCGGGGGTGCTCCAGGCTCAGGGAAGCTCCAGGCCCGGGATGCTCCGCTCCGCGGGGGGCGGGGCGTGTGGACGCGGTGTGTGGGGCGTTTAGGGAGTGGGCGGGTCGGGACTGGGCGCCCGCCCATCACGAGAGCGGCGGCACCACGGCTGCGCGGAGGGACTGGCAGTAGCTGTGCCGGCCGCAGGCACCGACTACGTGGCGGGGCGGGGCGGGGCGGGGCCCCTGGTGCCACTGCGGAGATGGGGGCGGGGCTCATTCCTACTGGTCAGGTGGTCCAAATTCTCCCAAAGCTCCTTCCAGCCATGCCGGTTCCCATTATTGGGAAGGATAAGGAACAGTGTGTCCCACCAGCCCGACAAGTCTCTCCGCGGAGTTGGGGGGCGGGGGGGAGGAAGCAGCAGGTGTGGAACGGCCTTAAACCAGAACGTGAGGCCCCTCGCAGGCAGTCCGCTGTGTGGTTCGAAGACCCCACAAAATCCAACCCTTTATGTAGCCAGGCAGGTGCGACCCTCGAGACCCGGATGTCAAGTGAGAGCACTGACAGCACCGCTTGTCAGAGCTCATCCTAAGTCCACCTGGCAATTGGAGTGGCCACTTGGGTTCACTACTTGTCTTTGTCCAAAGGAGAAATATATTTCTCATTCCCATAGGAGGTAGGGTTGCAGCCTGAAGCCAGGTGCTCCCTGTAAGTTAGGCTAATGTTTCAAAAGGATGGCTCCCAAGTCCCTGAGAAAAACATTCCTGGGTTGTTCAGCTGGCCAAAGGCCTACTTAGCCTTTAAAAACATTTACATAGGACTTTGCTGGTGGCGCAGTGATTAAGAATCCGCCTGCCAACTCAGGGGACATGGGTTCGAGCCCTGGTCCAGGAAGATCCCACATGCCGCAGAGCAATTAAGCCCGTACGCCACAACTACTGATCCTGCACTCTAGAGCCTGCAAGCCACAACTACTGAGCCCATGCGCCACAACTACTGAAGCCCGCACGCTCTAGGGCCCTTCTGTTTCAACTACTGAGCCCGCGTGCCTAGAGCCCATGCTCCACAACGAGAGAAGCCACTGCAATGAGAAGCACAGGCAGCGCAACGAAGAGTAGCCCCTTCTCGCTGCAACTAGAGAAAGCCCGCGCGCAGCAACGAGGATCCAAAGCAGCCAAAAATACTTTTTTTTAATTAAAAATAAATAAAAACATTTAAATAGATCTCAAAAAGACAACTTAGAAGTGTTTTAGAGTAGATGCTATAAGAAAGGATAAAGGAGAGACCCTTTCCCTTTTGCACTCGGGAAAAATCATTTTTACTCTAGATTTATATTTACCCTGCACTTCTACAAATACAGTTCAAATGCAGAGAAGCGAGATGCTAGTTTGAGAAGAGGGTGACCCTCTGCAGAAAGAGCTGGGGTGTAAGGGCAGCACCCAGCTCAACACCCACAGTGAGCAGTCATCCCGAACCTACCTGTGCGATGAGTCAGTGAAGTGGGGACAGAGCAGAAGCAGCCCAAAGACCTGGGCTAGGACCCTGGCCCCACCATCTCCACGCTCCACACACTCCACCTTTGCCACCTGTGCTCTAACCTCACGGCGATCTTCCCACGTCAGCGCTGCTGCCCGTTTTATTAGCGAGCAGACTGGGGTTTGAGGAGGTGTAAAAGTGCGCTGAGTGATCACACTCTGAGGGCAGAGCCGAGATGAGTCCCCCACAGCCATGCTGCAGTGACTGGCAGTTGTGGCCAGCTATGGAACACGCCCTGTGCTGAGCTCTGAGCTCAGTGCTGTCATTCTAGCTTTAAAAAGCATCATCATTGGACTTCCCTGGTGTCACAGTGGTTAAGAATCTGCCTGCCAACGCAGGGGACACAGGTTCGAGCCCTGGTCCGGGAAGATCCCACATACTGTGGAGCAACTAAGCCCATGCGCCACAACTACTGAGCCTGCGCTCTAGAGCCTGTGAGCCACAACTACTGAGCCTACATGCCACAACTACTGAAGCCCTCGTGCCTATGGCCCACGCTGCACAACAAGAGAAGCCACCGCAATGAGAAGCCCGTGCACTGTAATGAAGAGTAGCCCCCACTCACCCCAAGTAGAGAAAAGCCCGCGCACAGCAATGAAGACCCAATGCAGCCAATAAATAAATAAATAAATAAATTGCCGTCTCTCAAACCACTGAAAAAAAAAGTTTAAAAAAAAAAAAGCATCATCATTTACAATCAGCATTTTCCACAAACACGATTGACCATGAGGCTGAAGAAATTGGGCCGATGGTGACAGTCAGAAGACACTGCAGTGAGAGTTTGTGGGGAAACCAAGACCCTAGCCAGGAAACATCTCTGTAGAGACACTACTTAGTGGTGGAGCTGGGGCCTGAGGGCAGGAGTGCAGTGAGGGTGGCCTTCAGGCTCACTGTGACCTGCACCCGCCTCGCCTTCTAAAGCCATCTCACACACAGCTGTTGGGTCCCAGCGGCCAAGCCTGGCTCAGGTGTCAGCACCTCTGTGGTTCCATCACTACTTCTACGTACTTGCATCTGAGACTTACCACCACGTGTTATGACCATCAGGAACTAGGTTATCATTATCCTTGTTATTTCCAGAGTCAGAAACCTAATAGGCACACAATAAATCAATGACTGTTGAACACAGATGAACGTCACACCTGGCTTCAAGTCCTATACTGCTACTTCCATTGTTGGTCAAAGACCACTGTCTCACTCACTCTGTTCCACCAAGTCTGGTCCAGGAGCAGCAGAGCTACCCGGGAGCCTGTTAGAAATGGAGACCCCTGGCCCCACCACACAGCATCTTGGGAGCTGTGCCCCACTTCACATCTAAACCTTTCAAAGCAAGAGTCCGCATCTGCTCTTCCCGCTCCTTTACTGCTATGTATTCCACCGCAGGCTGGTACGGGCTCCCGAAACCTCTCGTTAGTCATCAGTAACCATCGCACTTCCAGTCCAACGGGTGCTGTTCTGTCCCCCTCCCCCGGGCCTCTGTGCTGCATGAAAAGTATTGGGCTTTCTCTCCTGGGACCTCTGCTCCCTCTGCATCCTCTGTACTGGTCCTTCCCAGGATACACACCTCTTCCCTCTCTGTTCTTCCCCCTCTACACCTACTCCCTGAGTGATTCACTGAGTGTCCTGGTTTCCACTAAGTCCCCAGCCTGCCTCTCCATCTCATTCCTACCCATCTGTCCAGTTGCCCACGGGGTGTTCTCTAGGTCCTACTTCAAATGCATCATGGCCACGCATCTCCCACCTTAAACAGACTCCTCTCCTAGGATTCACTGCCCAGGTCCCTGGCATCACCCAGGCGCCCCAAGCTAGACCCGGACCCCTACATCCAAACAATCATCAAGTCCTTTGGGATTTACCTCTTCTAGATTGTTTTAATCCCTTACTTCTTCCGCATTAAGAGCCAATACGATTTAATAGTTGTAGCTGAAGGCATGGGTTTGAAGAGGAACAAACCTGGGTTCCAGTCCTGGCTCCCATTCTGCAAATTGCTAAGCTCTTCAAATGTCAGTATCATCATCCTTGACATGGGAACGCTACTAGTAAAAAAACAAAGTCCTTTGGGACTTGTGGGAATTAATGAGGACAGAGTACATGACTGTGGTTAGTATTGCTGTCACCGTCCCTGCTGACTCCTGACCTGGCTCCATCCAGCACCACCCTCTCCGGGCTCCTGCACAGCTCCCTAGCTGGCCCCTCAGAGCAGTGTCCCATCATCCTGCCACACCCCCTCCAGAGCTCTGTTTGGCCGTGCCCTGGGGTGGTCCTCGGCCCCCTCGTCCTCCTGCGGCTGCTCCCGATACCTCCATCGTTACTCTCAGCACATTGTTTTAGAATTACTGCACCAGTTTGTGTTTCTGTCTCTCTCAGCAGATTATGCTTATTAAGGAAGCAGGTGTCTAGGCTCAACCTCTCTCTTAGCTTTTGAATTGTTATCTCTGGGGTGAGGCCCAGGAACAGGCATTGTTAATGAGCAGCCAAGGCAATCACAGCGCTCTGGAGTTTGGAAAGGCGTCCTGCACTAGACTGAGCTCTGGGATGGGACCAGGCCTGGCTCATTTCTGTGTGCCCATGCTCGGTCCCGGTACCTGGCAAACAGTGAGCTCCAGATAAGTGCTTGTTCAGTGAGTCAAGGATGACTCCAAGGGCGTCACGAACCTGGGAGCAGGTTGGCCAGGGTGGGTGGGGCTCCATCTGTTGTCACCACTGCAGAGCCACCTGGTCGAGTTTAGGAAACCCTAGTGCCTTTGTGGGTCACCTGTGGGGTAAATTGAGAGGCTTTTCAACCAGTGGTCCTAGTCTTTTTTGTTAATCTATTCACATTTTATATATTGAGATTCGGTGTCAAAATTTCACTTTTACAAGAGTCTGCTGCTAAAAATAAATAAGTTTGAAAACTGCTGTACCAGAATAGCTTTTTAATTTAGAGAGAAAATCAATCTCCCAGCAGGTAAGGAGTTTTGAAGAACTTTTGGAGCCGTTCCTTTCCCACTGTCATGGATATTCTTCATTAGGCTCTGATGTTTAATTGACCCTGAAATACAATGATCATGAAGATCTGACTTACAGGGATTCCTCAACCCTCCATGCAGTTAGAACAAGAGGGCAGGAGGGCAGGATTCCAGCCGGCACCATCAGCATCTAGATCTTCCAAGATCCTATGTAGGAATATTATTGTTATCCAGAGACAGTTCTCTAACCAGAGTCAGAACTATCCTGAACCTCAACACAGCCAAGATATTCTCATGTTTTATTAAAACAGTATATCTCTGTGACCTTTTACTTTCTATGGTATATGCTTCTATGTAATTAATTCCTCTTCCCAACCCTTAAATACAATTCCTGAAGTAAGTCTCTACAATAAGTAGTCTAACTTTTCCTCCTTATTTCTGTTTCTGGGCACTTTAATTCTATCCAATTCCCATTATGCCTCTGGCATTGCAAAGATGGCTTATGACCAAGGGGCCTGGTGTCCAAAACAATCATCAGTTTTCTCTCGAGAAGATACAACTAGGAAAAATCTAGGAACTTTATGATATTTGTGCACTACTGTGACCAACA